CCACTTGCCGCTGCGGTTGCCCTGCGTGTTACCGACAGGAACAGGTCTTGGGAGGATGTGAGCTGCGCTTCTGTTTTTCCTAGGTTTCTTCGGGTTCAGTAGCCGGCAGCTCTGAGTCCCTGCGGCTGGGGCTGTGGCTCGCGGGACAGAAATTTTCAAATAAAACCCATCCGTCAAGCTGGGTTCAAGCTCTTTGCAGGGCCGGTGACGTTTTGCTCGTTGTCCTTCTCATCGATAAACAGCGTTTGGGGAAAATGTAAATCAAGTGCATAGTGGAGAGCAAGTAGTGTGAATTTTCTTGTTGACACAAGATAAACTATGCTTTGAATTTTTAAATTTCCTTGACTTTACACTGGGGCAACTGAGCAATTAGAGAATGAGTTTTAGCCTAGAATTGACTGTAATTTTTGCTCTTTTGTCAGGGCCAGTCACTTAGCATTTTCTTCCCTGAAAAGACTGCCGTTTATCTTTTTCTTCAAAAGTAGACCTAAGAACCTGAGCAATTTGAGATTTTTTTGTTTGGTTGGTTGGTTTTTTTATTGGTGTCCACTGCTTTAAAGGCACACAAACTTCCTTTTAAGACTTTGCATTTATTCTAAAAAATAGAAAGACGTTTCATCACTTCCTCTCAATAATAAAATTTTGATCCTCTGCTTTTTAGATCCTTTGCATATTTTACAATTAAAGACAGGCTGCCCCAGATCCTCACGAGAGTTATCGATACTCTGCATCGACATAAAAATGAATTTTTCGAAGACCATGGTGAGGTAAGTGTAAGGTCTCTTTTTGCCTGAGATTTTTTTTCCTTCCTAGCCCTTGAGACCCCTTCTCTGCCTTGCTTTTACTGGTTTTTTACTATGATCATTAGTTGTCTGTCTTAGTCTCGTCTGTTGGGTTCTTTTCTTTATAATCTCTTTCTTCTAGGTATTTTTCATTAATTTTGTAACTTGCCTTTCTGTCTAACCTCTTTCTGATCTGTCTGTTCTGCAGCTGCTTCACTTTCTCAGGTTTTTGTGTTGATGATGCAGTGTTTAATAGACTGTAGCTGCTTCTGAATGTGGCAGCGTTTCAGTGCTCTGTTCCCCTCTGATAAGCAAAAAGTCCAATCTGAAAAGAAGTCCCATGCCCGATTGGTTTTAGGATGTTAGGTGTAAGATGAGCTTCATTCACCAAAATGTGTTTGGTTGACTCAAGCTCCGATTTGTCGGGGACTCGTATTTGGCAATTAAAACTTAGGACTTACATCTGTCATGAGAAATTGATCTGTGTCTCTACAGGAGTAAGTGTTCAGCATAGAGACTTTTGTTCTCTGCTTATTTCAGAAGGGTGTTGAAGCAGAGAAGAGAGCTATATCTTTCCTCTCCAAACTGCGGAACGAACTGCAGACAGACAAACCGGTGACCCCTTTAGAAGATGAGCTGCCTGATGCTGCGCTGTGGAACCAATACCTAGATTACCAACGAAATTTATCAAATGGAAATGGAGAACCAAGTTGGTTTCAGTCGCCTTGGTTATATGTAGAGTGTTATATGTATCGAAGAATTCACGCAGCTTTAGCACAGAAGTAAGTATTTACTAGCTTGGTATATTACTCTGCAAAACATTATTCTTTCCTCTTGTTATTTTAAGAGAAAGGAAGACAGCTGGGGAGCAAGATAAAGGAAAATCTTCAGCTTTTTCCATATTCCTTTTCCCTCGTCTTGCACCTTGGGTTTAAAATTAATACTTTTTTTTCTTCAACTTCTTTGCAAAAGAATTTGAAGGTTATTAGGTTTTTTTATGCTTCAGTTTCGGTGACTTGGTCTACACGAAAACTCTTAAGCTTGACTGTGTAGCTTGGCCTTCTTGCAGACTTATGTGCATTGAGATACGAAAGTTATTTAGCATTTCAAAAACGTGTTAGTCGCTTAAGACATATGTTAGCCTAAAACACAGAATGCGAGAGCCCCTAATCCATTGGGTGTTCTAACTTGTTTTGCTTCTTGAAATCTGAAGTTACCGTTTGAGAACTTTTTCTTACAGCAGTAGACCCAGCTTAAGCAGCCCCTGTTGTTCATTCTACACCATCTTCTTAGTTACAGCAGTGTTTGCAGGCCGTGTGTTGCATTGAACTTTGGGAGCTGATCCTGGTTAAAAATAGCTTGGCAGGAAAAACTTGTTGTGCTGGTGCTATGGAGAGGTGCCAGTACAATGTAATGGGGTAGGAATGAGCAGTTTAAGTTCCCGCTGCTGCCAAAAAAAAATTGAAATCTCCATGCATACTGGCTTTGCCCTTGGTATTACAGAGACGCAAACACAGTAATGGGACTGTGTTTCTGCTGATACATTGCGTAATTTGAACTCTTGTAGCAAAAACTTCAATTATGAGATGGATCTGCTCAATCGCGCTTAAAAAAACTGAGCAGATATTTTTCATTAGTAAGCTTTAAATTTCTTGATCTCCATTATTTAGCTGCTCTTAAGCATATGCTTGGGTGGAAGTTCAATCTTTTGTCAAAAGGTGTACGTGCAAATATGTCTCATAATAGCCGAGTCTATATTTCTTATGTATTACCAGAACTGGATTGTTTTGTCATCTTTTTCATGTTAATTTTCTAAAGTCCTAGTTAAAAACTTTCATAAGAATAACTTCATATCACTGAAGATGGATAGTCTATCACTTAGAGTTTGGTATGGGAAGTACACTTCAGCACACATTAACACACTTAAAATTGGGCCAGCAATTCACTACGCGAGTTCACTTGTATGTTACAGTTTTAATTTCCTCTGTCTGAAGACTGGAGTTCAAAATTGTCCCTGTATGTGCAGTTCCCAGAATTGTTGTGACTGAACACTTGTTCACTTTCAGAAGATATTGCTAGAAATATGAAGATGTCTTGTATACTGTCTGTTTCAGTGAGATATGATATCAGGCTATTGTTGAGATGTGTGAAAATCTAGCATGACAAATTAGAAGTGGAAAATCTAACTAGGGCCTGTAGTATGGCCTAAAAAAGCTGAGCTTTGAGCTTGCATTTCCATATGTGTTTTGTGTGCTGTCATAGAAAATGTG